TTTTTTACTTATTTTCTATTACATTAGTTTGTATGTAAATCTTTGTAAGATTTGTTTGTATACTTAGTATTATTGTAGGGATAAACTTAAAAACTATGATAAATTATATGTCAAACATATAGGGTTTCACATAGTTTGTAGGGGATAATTTGTATAATTAGAACATTCATATATGTTATAGAATAATATTATACAAAGTGTCATGGTAATATGACACATCATTTATTATCATTTTAGTCTGTATTTGTTAAGTCGATTGTCATATTAATTTATCTAATCATATTTTAACACTGTCATCTTGTATAAATGATTTTGTATAAAGTTTTTTGTGAGTACAGTATTACTTATATTTTACTCTAAAACTTAACGGTAAAGAATTTTTGGGTGCGTTTGTTTTAATAATTCATACCTTATTCCCTATCCTATTCCCTAAATACCTGTTTGTTTAATTATTTGGGAAATACTATTATATTTTTAATTACTTTTAGACCCCTTAAGTTTATTAATTTAATTAAACACTCTTAGAAAAAAAAGTTTAAAAATTAACAAAAACACCCCCACACACCCATAGTCAACCACCAAATCTGTCACAACGGTGTAGAAACGATTGGAATTGGCTGGTAATTCGTCGATCTGGCCTTTTCCGATCAAATCTATAGTGAATCTAACCGAAAAATATCAGATCTGGTCGTCGTTGACCAACAACGATGGCCATATCTTTGGTCGTCGCTGACGGCTAAATCTGGTATTTTGCGGTCGTCGACGGCTAGATCTGGCCTTTTTCGACCAGCTCCGATCGGTCTACGTTGTAACGTCATTTTTTGATCAGATTCAGGTGGTGGTGGCCAGAATCTGACATTGTGGGTGGATAGAGATGTTTTTGTTATTTTACAAAATTTTTATATATTGATGTGTTTAGTTAAATTAGCAAACTCATAGGAAATTTTATTTCGTAATACTCACCCTATTTAATTTCCAAATATCATTCCTAAAATTCTATTCAAAATAACAAAACAAATGCACCCTTTGTTATTTAAAAAAACAGGAGGACAATATTTATTATTGGATCAAATTTGAATGGTGTATGATTAACTCAAGAAAGAAAGAGCAAATAAAGAGCACAGGTGAAAACGTCATTAATATCAATTGAATTTTCATGAAAAAGCAAGGACAGAAAAGTCTATGAGAAGAGGGCCTCTTTCTACATCCAGGCTTTCTCTTTTGGTTTCAGAATGAAAAGAATTAATTGGAGTTGGTGAGTAAATAAAGTCATCTCCTTCACTTTCTCTTTCTCTTTCTCTTTCTCTTTCTCTTTCTCTTCAATCATAAAGCACTCGATTGCAAAATCATTTGGTGAGTACGTCATCCTCAGAATTTTTTATTTGTAAAAAGAATGAGAGAGAAAATTTTAAAGTTGGCTCATAAATAAAGAGAAAAAAAAAAAAAAAAGATATATCTCACTATTTTCTTAAAATTTTTAATTTAATTTTTATTTTATATTCTTTATGATATGTCATTCTTGAGAATGCTTTGGACAATTCTATCTTCTTGTCTCTGTCAAGAACACAACATTTATTACAAGAGGAGAAGGAATTAATTTTAAAAATAAAAAATAAAGTAGGACTTTTTTTTTAAAATAAAATAAAATTGAGATACCCTTTAATAATGAGTAATATAAACAAAAATTTCAATTTTCAATACAAAAAATATTAGACCATTTTTTCTTTTTTCCTTTTTTATAAAACATTTGCTAATGATAGTAAACCATTGAATTATATATTTGGTTCTCTTGTGAATAACGTCTCTTTTTGTCGTTAGATATTATGGATGAATATTAAAAGACAAAAACCTAGTACAATTTTAAAATAAAATTTAAAATTTTATTTACTATTGTCTATTGATGTCATCTAATAGGTGTTCGATTTTAAAAAATTACGTGTGTTTATAGTAATTTTCTTACGTGTACAAACAGTCGGAAAAAAAAAAAAAATTAATCTAATATTGCTCCATTTTGGTCAATAAGCTAATTTAATTTTATAGCTTTAAAATAAATTTGGTTAACCCAAGTAACAATTAACTTACACAACGGTCAAACAAGTTATAATTATAAAATCTGAGAAAACATATCAGTTTGTAAGAAAGGGTTTGCATAAAAAAATTATTTATGAAGTATTATTCCTTAGTCAATAATCCAATCAAAGGAATAAGGGAATGGTTGTATCGAACTTCTTTAATTCCCACTTTTGTAAAGTAGGTAAACTTAAAAAAAAGAGAAAAAGAAAAATTCTTTGTCTTACTTTGTAATTAACTTAATCAATTAAGCAGGACATGAATGAGAAAGGAAAGGCGTAATTATATATGTATTTTTTTTTTAACCGGGATATTCGACCTAGTTTGCGTACACCTCGACTAATACCGGAGTCTATTAAACACTCTACAAGCCTAAAAAACTAGGTAAACAATAATTTTATCGTGATAGGTGATCTCAAAGTTTGAACTCAGAAACTCAAGGAATATATAATTATATATATGTATATTTTCCTTTTCTTGCCAAGGCTGGTAATTATTAGTTCAAGAATCCCTCAAATTTCCAAATTAAATTCTCCTTTTGGAATCTAAGAACAAGAAAACAATAATAAAATTAATTGATTAATTTTTATGAGTTCAATAACAATTGATTATTGATGTGTTGATAAAGAATTAAAATTAAACCAAAATTATTCTGAAAATATTATAATAATTTAACTACCATTGGGCATTTGAATATATTTATTGTTTTTTTATTTAATGAACATTTTTTTTTCTTTTTACTTGAAAAATAATTTTCGATTATTTTATTCAATACATAATAATTAAGAATTGGGTTCTTTTTTAACTATTTTTTTAATTTTTAATTACTATTTTTTGTAATTATTAACTGTTTTTGTGATTTATTTAAACTATTTTTTTAATTTTTAATTTTTATTTAGATTAAATAATAGTCAGTAACTTCCAATATCTACATTGTACATTCAATTTAGGTGTTAGTACCTAAAACTCCATTAATGATGTGTTCCCACGTGCCTCACTTTGTAAGATAAAATTACGAAATATTGTTGTACAGTTGATGTTGAATTGAACGTTGAAATGTTATTGTGATCATTTAATACTGAATTGAGCGTTGAAAAGGTCATCGTTGGCCATGATATTAAGAAATAATTGATTTGTTGTACAATTTATTCTCTCTATACCGCAAATTAAGCATTTAAATCAAGGAATCGATCCAACATGAGCCTTCAAACTGAGGAACTTCTTTGATTGTGACCACCAAAATATATAGTAGTTATGAGCTTAATAACCTTTTTAAAAGTTTGATTTTAACTATAAACAAGAAGAAATTTAAAACACCATGTCATTCAATTAGTAAAACCCTTTACTTTATAGTACTGAACATTTATTTAACTTTATTTTTAAAATAAATAAAAAAAGGTCTAACAGTTTTAAGTACCCCATTAAAACCCTTAGAAAAATACTGGCTTGAATGTTAAAGAGTGTCAGAGTGTCAATACTTAGGAATGTCCAGTGCCAATGTTGACAACCCTATAAACCCTCCTAAACGTTCTCGTTTCGCAATAGAGTTTTTCTTGATGATGAAATTACCAGGTTCTAAGCAGTGAAAGCACGTATTTACGTTTTCAACCAAAAAACCACCATTAGTCGGATGGTAAAATTGTGGGTTATTTAGAGATTTTGTGTTCGAGTCATACAAAGTGATATTCTATCATATTTGTGACTTACCTGACCTATTGAGTTTGTAGGATGTTCAATAGATCATATAAATTTTACATTTTTAATATTGTTTACTAGTAAACTGTTTACCAGCATCATCCACCACCACTTAATGAAGAGGGACATAATACATAAATCCATAAAAGAGATAGTCTCTATTCATAAGAATAATTGTGACTTACCTGACTTATTGAGCTTGTAAAGTGTTCTTGTAAAATGTTTAATGGATCCTGAGAATTTGACATTTCTAATACCGTTTACTAGCAAATTGTTTAACACGGTCATAGATCCATCATCATTTAATGAAGAGGGACATAATACATAAATCCATAAAAGAGATAGTCTCTATTCATAAGAATAATTGTGACTTATCTAACCTATTGAGCTTGTAGGGTGTTCTTATAAAATGTTCAATGAATCTCGAGAATTTGACATTTCTAATACCGTTTGCTAGCAAATTGTTTAACACCGTCATAGATCCATCATCATTTAATGAAGAGGGACATAATACATAAACCCATAAAAGAGATAGTCTCTATTCATAAGAATAATTGTGATAATGTCTACACTTAGAAACACATGTGGATTCACATTGTGCATGAATTATTATTGAGGTAAGTGAAGAGAGTGGGGAAAAGGGAATTCTATTACTTGTGTTATCTCTCTTTCTCTCTCTGTAAAATTTTAACCCTTTGTCTCCCAAGAGGCAAAGCAAAAATTTCCTAACCAAACAATTAACCCTTTTGCAATTTGCGTGTATTGACTACTTGTAGAGAAAAGGAGAGATGATGAGATTGAGAAAGGGTTTTAAAGAGATATAAAGACACTCCCTTTGTTGAAGTGTCCTTTTCATTTAAATACTCTCGAGATGGTTGAAAATAAATAAATAAATAAATAAAAAAGGAAGATCCAAATCCCTTCCTTCTCTCTCTCTCTCTTTAATTTTCTCTCTTCTCTTTGCTTCCACAATTCTTTCTATACTCTTTTTTTGTTTGTCTATTATCTTTTTTGCATACCACCACATATGTCTCTCTCTCTTTAAGGATGTTTGTTTTCTTGAACTAGAAAATCTTTTTCTCTTCTTCTTCTTCTTCTTCTTTGTCATTTGCCACTCTTTTTAGGTTTTTTCATGAGGGGTTTTTTGAGATTTTTCAAAAGTAAGTCTGTTTCTTGATTCATTTGTATCATATATTCTTCTCTTTACACCACTCTTTATAGGTTTTTCATTCTTGGAAGTTTTCAAATTATGTCTAAGAGATGAATGGTTTCATGAATCATCATTCTGAGTCAAATTCCTGAGCTTTGCACCCACCACATATCTCTTTTTAGGTTTTTCTTGAGGGGTTTTTTTGAGAGTTTTTAAAGTATGTCTAGAGAAGGTTGGTTTAATGAATCATCATCTTCTTCTTCCTTGAATCAAATTCCTGATCTTTCTTTACAAATAAGACCTCCAAATAGTGCTCCTTCTTCAATTTGTGCTGCCGCAAATGAAGCAGAAGAAGAAGATTCGACCTTTGATATTTGGCGAAATGACCTAAAATCTCACAGTGATACCTCCATTAAAGCTCGTGAACAAGCTGCAGCAGCAGACACTGAGCTCTCTCTCGCCAATCCGACCCCCTTCGACCTCGAGGCCGAGAGCCCCTGGAGAAGAAGAAGAAGCATACTTGGAGCGGGAACCGATAACAATACTGTTCGTCATCCTGCCCAAATGAATCATCTCAATCGTGGAATTTCTCTCCTTGATGTTTCGGGACTCAAACCCATAAAAGGGATTCCAGTTTACAACTTGCCATATTTTGAAGCTCAAAGATCAGTGGATCCTAATAAATTTCGATTCTATCAAATCCCATATTCTTCATCTTCATCTTCACCTTCTATCCTCGGCTCAAGAGATAACAACAACAATAATAATATGAGCTCGTCTTTCGGAGGTTATAGATCAATTCTAGGAGCTGCTGCACCGAGGTTTAACAATGGGATATCATCTATGGAGCCGGAGTTTCAATATGGAGTTGGTTCTTCGGAGTTATGGAATTGCAAGATTAGATCAAGATTCATCCCAAATAAGCTTAACCAAAACAAAAGGAACACGAGGGCTCCAAGAATGCGTTGGACTAGCTCTCTTCATGCTCGTTTTGTTCACGCAGTAGAGCTCCTCGGCGGCCATGAAAGTAAATCTTTCATCTCCTATCTCTTCTTTCATTTTTATATACAAATTTTGTCTCTAATCTTTTCCAGTTTATCTTCATAGGGGCAACTCCAAAGTCAGTTCTTGAGTTCATGGATGTCAAAGATCTAACTCTAGCTCATGTCAAAAGCCATTTACAGGTAAATAAAATCCTTCAAAAATTGTTCTCAAACAAACAAAAGGTACTTAAAAACCTTTCTTCTAAACCCCAATTCGGAATTAGAATCCCATCAAACCCTAGAATCATCTCTCCATAACCTCAATAAAAAACCAGTTTGAATCGATCATTCCACTAATTGATCATGATATTCGAAAAAAAGGGTAATTGAATTTAGAAGTATATTTACTCTCTGGAAAAATGTTTAAGAGCTGTGAATGAATGATCACCATTAGCATCAGGCACAGAAGCCGATGAATGAAAGGAATGAACAGTGGACTGAGTTAACTTGTTGTGAGATAGAGGACAACTTTAACTTTTGAAAGAGAGAGAAAAAAGTGGCATCATTGCTCAATAATACAGGCAATTACTGTCCTTACCAAACATCAACCTCGTGGGTAATAAACAAGTCAAACACATATTCACTGGGATTTTTTCTTTCTTTTTTTTATTCATTTATATATTCCTTTTTAAGTATATTTTTTTGTTTTCAAATTTATTTATTTGGTCTCATTTCTGGGTTGCAGATGTATAGAACTGTTAAAAGCACTAACAAACCTGGAGCTTCTTCAGGTAAGAAGTAGTGCAGAGGTTTCAGCTTTTGTTTTTGACCTTATTTTCCAGTACATTTTGGTATAATTTTATAGATTCTCTTCTCCATTTTGTGAATTATTTATAGATATTAATTAATCCTCGGTGTAAAATTATATTTATATGTATGCATGCTTCATGCTTTGTCATAATATAATTTACATGTATACAAGCATGCATGCTTATGTTTGAGAGAAGGATTGGGACAAATTCAACTTTTCATACCCTCCCTCACCCTTGGCGTGTAGGCTGGGGTTCAAGCCCATCACCGCTCCAAACAAAGGTGATACTGATACCATGATAAATAGGTTTAAGTAGAACTCATTCTCAAAAACTAGTTCAAGGGAAGAGAGAGTCCAACTACATATATACACTATAGAATTGACATAACAAAAATAAAATAAACAATTTGTTTCTCCTATGGATATCTGCATCGTTTTTTAAAATAGATAAAGATAGAATTTTAACTTAGTCTTTACACATTGATTTATACTACAATATTTGTCTTTTAACGTGAATCGGTGCAATTGTACATGAGACTAAGATTTGTTAAACTATGGATGTTAATTTGTCTAAAGATCTAGATTATGCCTAATTTGATTTGTATTATTGGGTTTATACATATATATATATGATCAGGCAATGAAGATTTCTTGTCAGTAGCAGCTTCTCTTCATCAAAATGATAACTGTTTATTCAATGAGAGTGGAGTTTCAAATGTGTCACCGGAATATGACAATGGTGACCCTTCTAATCTAAGGAATGAATCATCTAGGTAATCTTTCTCTTGATCTCTCTTCATTTATTATTAATTGTTGATTAAATCTTTTTTCTTTTGAAAACATCGTCTTCATTCACATCTCAACATCGCAAGTACGAGTCGATAGAAGTTCACGTATGCTAATTCAATTGGGTAGGTCTAAAATTTTGTTTCAACAATGATAATCTAAGCATTACAAGCTCTTCAAATCTAACCCGCCAATGGATAGTCTAGTGGTAAGGGCGAACCAAGGAGTTGTGCATGAATTTAACTTACAGTCCCAGGTTCGATTCTCTACTGGGCACAAAGGTAGTACCTTTGCCATTATTTACTTGGGGGCTGTGGTGGTGGGTTGCTAGGAGAGGTGCATGGTTTAATTGAATAAATTCTTATATATGTGCATGAGTAACTAAAAAATAATTAATTTTAACTTGGTAGATTTAACGATCACATGAAATATCACTAAAATATAACAATCACATTATTTTAAATTAGTTTATTATAAAAAGTTTAGATCAAAAGAGAATCCTCGTAATCTCGAATATAATCTCTAGATGAGTTATTCTTCATGAATAATTGATTAGTTTATGGATTTTATTTTATTGCAGTGGAGGAGGGGATTGGCTACAAAACAGTTCAAGTAATCTGGATGAGCATAGATCAGAAACAAGAATATCTGAAGAACAATCACCTGGATTTCGATCTCAGGTAACTTAACAAAACCCCTTTGTTATATTTTTAACCACTAATTATAAACTTGTATTTGTTCACGTAAAAGTTTAGATTAAGAGAGAATCTTGGTTCATCGAATTTAGCTTCAATAAACAAAAGAAAGTGAAGGGAAAATGCAAGAAAATTTTGTCAAATATGAAGTTCATCTCTTGGAAGTGCTTAAATTTGCATAACAAGAGTGTTTTATTTGCATGCAGGGAAGCACTTTTGCTCAACCCAGAAGCACTTTTGCTCAACCCAGTTTAGTTGTTCATGAGCAGAATCCAAGCTTAGAGTTCTCCTTAGGAAGATCCAACCGCTGCAGCAAAGAACATGACTGAACTAAGTAAATTAATTATCATATCTTATATATAATTATATAACTATATTATAGATTGATGCCAATTTCTTGATAAAAGAAATAAATACCAAGAAAAAAAAAAAAAAAAAGAAGAATAGGGTATTGTATACAATTAACTTTGCTAGTCATTTTCTGAAAAGTTGCATGCATGTGTGTGTTTGATTAATTTATTATGTTTTTGTTTATTTTTTTTTTTATTCTTTTGAACTAATTTTCAATTAGTGGGGTCAGTTGGGTCATTATCCATAATGTGAAAGGGCGACATTAAAGGATAAAAAAATTTATTAGTTTACTTTGTGATAAGCTGTAAAGCAATGGAGGTGAGTTGTTTTATTTGATTAATTGTTTTTCTTTTGCAAATGCAAATTATTGCATCCATTTACGTGGAATGTTTCATTCACATTTTTGTTTTCCATCAAAGAACGTTTAATAAAACTTTTGGACCCACAAATTTGGAATATCTTATTTTTAGGCAATTCACAGGTTTTAACAAGCAATCGATATTTTAAGATCATTTTTATGGATAAAGTTGAAGCTCTTTAAAGTTTTTAATTTGGATAAAGTGGTAACATTTGCCTAATTTTGATTGAATTGTCTATATCAAAATTGGATTTTGTGTTGAGATTGTGGGGTGCATTTTGTCGTAAAGGCTTAATCTATTTAGGTGAAATCCAAAAATTGGAAGAGTCAACTATTTTTTATAAATGTTTGTTGTTTGATATGCAATAATACTAGATGTACAAACAAATCTTACAAAAATTTGTGTATAAACTAATATGATATAAAATGAATAGATGAATGAATATAAAAAATCAAACGCATCATATTCACTCTTCCATTTATTTTATGTCACATCAATTTATACATAAATCTTTGTAAACTTGTTTGTACATGTAACATTACTCTTTGATATGAATCTGAGTGGGGGCTACTTAATTACAATGAGTATTAATGCTTAATTTAATGAAAATATATACAATGTTAACAATATCCAAAGATCTCCCGTATGAGTTGCGAGAGAGGTAATTATTACATTTACCCAAAAAAAAATATATAACGAAAGAGAAAATAAAATTTTCATAAGTTATGTAATATTAAAAGTGCTTTATAGAAATAATTTTTTTTTTAAATTCTGTTTTTTATAAAAATAAATAAATAAAAGGAACGGAAAATTGAAGCTACATATATTACATGCACAAAACGAAGTTCAAATAACAAATCATCACGAATAAGGGCATTTTAGTTGACAACTTATTATACAAAGGCCCAAATTATTTAAAAAAAAAAAAAAAAACCTTATTTCCATAAAATCCTATAATATTTTTGGATAAAGATTGACTCACAACCCTATTTTACAAACTTTTCCCCACAACCCTTACCTGACAGTCCGCAATTGGTCAGCTTGCAATTGCACGGACAGGACCTATAGCGAGTATAAGAAACCTATTTGTAAACTGGTTAATTGTGAATTGCCACGTAAGGGTTGTAAGCGAAAGTTTGTAAGATTAGGTTGTAAGTGTAGTATTACCCAATATTTTTTGGCTAAACCCTACGACCCAGAAGTTCCAGAAGAAAAGTCCTGTAATTCCCAGAGGTTTCTGACTGAACTGCATCATACAATGGCTTTTTGTATTTCTTCATGTAATCCGCTTTTATATATTGCATATCGATCTCAGTTCTTGTCACAATTATCCTTGTCAGCGTTTTTTCATCTGTTCCTATACCTTTCATCGCCCTGTGTAGTAACTGCAAATTTTCCAACAAGATCATAATAATTAGTAGCTTAAATTACCAGAGAGGTTTTCGAATTTTAAATCACCATCTCAGTCGGGCATCCCTGTCCCTACCTGCCTGGATTACGATCCTTAAGACTACTATCTCGCAACATAAGATGGTAAAATGGATTCCATCAGTGCCATTTAAGAACTATTGCACCATGACAATAGTGACTTGAACTTCACTATCAACAATTTAGTCTAAAAATATAAGGTTTTTTATGGTACGCAAATGCCTTAAATATTAATCTCATATTAATCTCGCTCGCAAAAATTTGCTAGACTATGACTGAAATGGCTTCAAGTTGAGCATTTCAACTCCAAGGAGAAAATAAATAAGCATTTTACGGCTTCAAGTTAAATAAGTCTTCGTTTAAGATGTAAACTTTTTTAAACAAAGCTCAACTTCACAACTCATGGTGATCTCTCTTTATATTAATTTTCATTAAATAGTATATCTCGCAACTCCTAAGTTATCTCCCCTGGCCACTCCAACACGAACAAGAACATGTCTCAGAATAGCTAAGCTCTTTTATATGCATTAACTAAGAAAATACCTTTGCGAAGTACTTCCCTGGATTCTGTGCGCATTGTAAGATTGTCAAGAGAGCAAACTCAAAAAGTCCTGATGTTTCCTTCTTCACTGCCTGATAAAAACAAACATGACAAACATCAGCAATAATTCCAATTGGAGAAATAAGATCTTGGGAAAGTTTAGGAGACGTTTGCTCAATTATGGGTTTTTTTTTTTTTTTTTTTGGTTTTTTGAGGTTTTGTTTTCAAAGAATGAAAAATGTAAGTTAGAAATTCAATTTTGTATTTTCAAGATTTGAAAAAGTGTGTGATGTTATTATTTGAAAATAAATTCAATGAAGCGTGTTTGGTAAAATTTTTTGAAAATAAAAAAAAGAATAGTTTTAATATATCATTAAAATGTTTTATTAATACTTTAAATACTTTTTAAATCAAATTAAAATTATTCAACAAAAATCAAATAAAAGAAGTAAAACACCTCCAAACTATATTCTCATTTTGACAAAAGAATCCTAAAATGCAAAATCAATAAAAGTTGTTTCCCTATCTTATTACTTTTCATCATAATAAGTAAAGACCTGATTTTGTGTTTTCTGAAAACAAAGAATGAACAACAAACAAACAAGTACCTTCTGAAGTGAGCTTCCATGCTTATTATATAAATTAGCAACTTCAGCCAAATGAGCCCTGCTTCGTTCACTGAATATCCGGATGAAAGTCTTCTCATCAGTTCCAAATCTCTTCTCCCCAGCTCTGTAGAGAGCATTCGCATCACTTTCAGCCATTTGCTTATTAACTAGCGGATTTTCGTCAAATGGTGGGCTTACATATGCAAGTAAAAGCTGCACCAATATTACTACCCCAAGTCATCAACAATTCTATTTACATGTATAAAGCAGCATATCAAGGGAACCCAGATTGAGAGGTTTACAAATTGAAACACACAGCTTACATTGAGTATCCCAAATATAAATAAATTTTGACTAAATATCGGAGTTATGCCATGGAGATCAGCAGATTTTTAATCTCTTAAAACTCGCCCTGGCCAGGCCTAGCACACGTACTCCACCAATTGGAAAAATAATTTTATTTGCAGATTTACTCAAGGCTAGAATCAACTTAGTATTACAGTGAGTATTTCTATGTCCAGGGTACCAGAACAAGACCGACTAGACAGTGAGTATTTCTATGTCCAGAGCACCAGAACAAGAGCGACTAAAATTAATCTATGAAACAAGTAGCTGACAAATTAGAAGTGAAATTAGCACCATTTAATAAGACCTTGGGCAGTTTGCTTCTAATCCTAACAGAGCTACATAAAATCAATTAGCAAGAGGTCCACGATTTCATGAATTGCTAAAACAATCCCAATCAACCTCCCTCATAATGAGGAGTGGATTATTACTATTTATACTAAAACGGATTGTCATCTAGATTCATCAGCAGTTGAATAGGTGAAGGAAAGTTCTTATTCAGTTATACTTAAATAAATCTGAAATAAGAAAGTGCAACAAGAATGCTACTGAAAATTACAAATGAATGAGGTGGTTAACTGTAAACTTTCTCAAGACTGTTAACAAAACAAGGCAACCAAACATCACTGCTCCATAGCACACAGATTCTTAAAGAAAAGCAGACAAAGCCAAGATCTAAGAGAAAGAGATTTTACCTTTTTATGATCACCAGAGGTGCGACGTTCAATATCATATTCAAGTTGAATCCCAGTCTTTGAAACGTAAATTTGTTTAATCGTTTGAATCTGAGATGGCGTGCGAGAACAAATTACTTCAGTGGCACATTTTAGATCGTTCCCGAGTGCTGTCTTGATTATCATTGCATCACGTGTTGCTGGGTCATGCATCCAGAGCAAAACAGCCATCTAATGTTTAAAAGAAAAAAAAATATATAAGATACAAATAAACACAAAGGAAAAGAAAATAAGCACTATTCTTCAATTTAATAACAGAGAAATAAACAATTACACATTCCTTACAAAGTTTTTAAAAATAAATTTATTAGTAAACTAGAATAGAATTGAGACGGTTTCTCCACGGTAATTGAATAAATGTCATCATTGAATGTAAACCTCCATGTATCAGAATAGCAGAAAAGAAATTATGGGTCGGTATCACAATGGTACCTCCAAGTCACCTGTAAGCTCTGACTCCAAACGTTTAAGAATGTCCTCTTTTTGCATAGCATAGTATTCTCGTTGGATTTCAGCACGTTGTCTAGCATCTCGATGGGCAAGAATCTCAATTACAACACTTGTATCACATCCAAATCCTACAACCAATCAATTGGGCAAATACATTAGAACCAATGCTCTATGTAAAATTGCTAGTTTTCTAACAAAAACATTATATATATAATTTACGACAAGGGGTGTTACTTAATCCAAATAACTTAAGTTTTAGCTGATCTAATCTTTCTCTGTTTTCTTCACCCCATGTTTTATTCATGGTGCTTTAATAATAATAAGAAATAAGACCACCCTCCAAGTCACTCTTTACTACCATTCACACTCAAGGCCTTTAACATTTAAGAAACTGGATCTCCAAAACTAACATTTCAGTCAAATTTCTAATCATAAATGCTGAACGATCATATTACACCATCCCAGGTAATCAGTACATAAACAATTCTCCTCTGCATCGTTACAGGCACTTAATAAACCTGCCAGTCTATAATTACAGCAAATAATCATTTACTGTTGTTCCGCTTGGCAAACAAGAGCTGGAACCAGAATTTACCAAAACCGTCCAGTCAATTTTCAGGAAGCAAAAAACAAGAGGCATTTTCACAAACAACTTTATCACTAAAAGCTTCTATATTTCTCCTTGCTTCCCCCTAAACGTTAAATTTTTTTTTACAGACAACCCTAACTAACTATACCTCAAACATCAAACAGAAAACAATATTCTCACGATAAAAATGCATGCTACATATACTACATACACAACATTTTACATTTCCACCCTAAAGCTTTAAAATTTTGCAAAAACACATGTACCATGACAAATACTTCCAATTAACTAACCATACCTCGATAACCAAATCCAGAAGATCATTCTCAGGATGGTCAATTTCCAATGTAACATTTGCATCTGCCACATACGTCATAATTACCTTCTACCCTAAAACTCCATAAATTTGCAAAGATGCACCTAACCTGACAAATACTTCCAATTAACTAACCACACCTCAATAATCAAATCCAGAATAACAATCTCGGATATTAAATTCCTCAAATGATTATTGAAATCTGCTACATGCGCCATAATTAAATTCCACCCTAAAACTAAAGAATATAGCAAAAATAAACCTAACATGAGAAATACTTCCAATTAAATCAAGAGAAGAAGAAGAAGAGAACCTTTGAAGGCACGGTGAAGCCGCATGGCGTCCTCTCTCGCCGAAGTCTGACCAGTGAGGATTAAAGTTGACATTTTCTTTTTCCTTTTTTTCTGCAATTCAAAAATTTTCGACGAACAACTGCTTCTGCCTTTATTATGTTTGAAAGAAATAATCCCGGCTTCTTCTACACGTATCCTATTTTGTTTGGAGGGTTTGTTTCGGTATTTTCGTACTATCCCATCCCTTATCTTACCCAAAATACATATTTATTTTCCTATTCCAAAAATCTTATTATATTTTATTTAATTATTTTTAAACTCACATAAGTTTATTAATCTAATTAACCCCAAAAAAGTTTAAAATTTAACAAAAACACCCCACCCACCCACATTTGTCAGATTCTGACCACCACCATCGGAAGGTGGCCAAAATTTAGTATAATGACGCACTACCGGTTTGATATGACCGGTAGTGTGTCGATCTAGCTTTTTTCGACAAAATTCACTGTAGATCTGGCTTAAAAATACCAGATTTTTGGTCGTAGCTAGTCGTTGATGACCAAGCGTGGCCAGATCTGGCCTTTTCCGGCCAGCTCCACGTTGGATTTGATTGTAAAAGGTCATATCGGTGCACGACTGACTTGATCCAGTCGGTCGTGCACTGATACGGCAACTCCGACCACCCCCCGACGGTGGTGACTGACTGGGGTATTTAATGGGTGGGTGGGGGTGTTTTTGTTAATTTTTAATGTTTTAGTACAAGAGTGTTTAGTAAATTAACAAACCTAAGGGGGTGTTTTTGTTAATTTTTAAATTATACTTTGTAATAACCACCAAACTCTTACTTTTTCAAAAATCATATCCAAACTAATAAAACAAACACACCCCAACCCTTGTTAGTGGCCAAGATATGACCGTCATTGACAACCAAATCTTTGACCGTAAATCTGACATTTTCTGGCTAGATCCATGGTAGATTTGGCCGAAAAATGTCAGATCGGCGCACGATAAGCCACATCTAGCTGGATGCACCATTCCGGTAGATTCTGACTACCTTTCAATGGTGGTGGCTGACTGTTAAGAATATGTGAGTAGGTGGGGGTATTTTTGTCAATTTATAAAATTTTATTGTTTAGAGTGTTTAGTTAAATTAACAAACCTATAGAGTTAAAAAAATCTAAATATTTTGAGTTGAATATAATAAGATTGAATTTTGAGAATATTGAAACAAATATGTATTTTGAATGGGATTGGATATGATAGTATTTTGAATAGGGAAAAAAACACAGCCCAAGATATGGTCGTCATCAACGGCAAGATATTTGGCCATAGATCTAGTTGAAAAAGACTAAATCGATGTACTATCAACTAGATTTAACCGATCGTGCGCCATTCCAATGACTTTAGTGGCCGGTTGTCGACATTTTAATCTTTTTATTTTATCTTCTTTACTCCTCTAAAATTAATCGAGAATAAAAAGTGGATGAGTTTAGCATAATAAGGTGAGGAATGGAGTAAAGTACAGCATTGGTAAAATGGGCTTCTAAAAGCCATAGAAATTATTGAATGAAAGAGCCATTACAATATTTGTTTAATTTAGCAAAAGTTCAGGAGAGAAAACAAGAACTTCTAGTCACATACGTTAATGACGTGGCAGCAGATGAGACACCTCAGCTACATATACTGCCACAAGAAACCGACATCTGTCCTCTCGCAAATTCAAAAGTAAGACTTCTTCCAGTCCAATCCTCACTCACGTCGCCGCATATCAGCCACAAATAGCTAGATGTGCCACGTGTCAGCCATACACATAACTCTTTCGACTAATGTATTCACGTTACGTTTTCACTTTTTACAAAGAAGTTTCGCGACGCCAGCTTGAGGTGCCGTATTCTCTTTTTGTTTAGATTAATTTAATCACAAAACAAATTATTATATGAGAATTTCTCAAGAAAAAAAAAATCTAAAAATATTTTACAAAATATTTTATGTCCCAGAATAATTATTTATAATTGATTTTTATGTATTATCATGCTACTACTTGGTAATAAAAAATAAAATAAATAAAAAAGAAAAAAATACAATAATTAAACATGACACTTTAATACATACCTTTTTTAAATGCCACCATATGAAATAGGCAGGAGAGTAATTAAAGTATACCCAATGGGATCATTTTACTATTAAATTCTAAAACTATTAAAAGTAATAATATATTTTATAGTAATTAATTAACACTATTAAAATTTATATTAACCACACTAAAATTAATAATATTTCATTAACTCTACTAGGATATTTTGAAATTCAAAAATATCTTTATTTTGTTTACATTTTCCTCTTTCTCGGTGGTTCTCTTCCACTTTATTCTTCTTTTGATTAGATTAATAAAAAGATTATTCCTTCAAAAATTACGAGATACAATAATGCTCATATATCAATTTAAATCTTTTAATCTCGTCAAGTGAAAATCTTTATTACGACCTTAGAATTATTTACATACATGTATGAATTACGTATAATAATAATAATATTATTATTATTATTATTATCATTATTATTAAACTATCAAAAATAAATGGAAGTTTTTATTATAATATTTTTATTTCCTAATGATGAATGATTATTGATTCATATTAATCAAATTTGGAAAGTCAAATTGTATTTTTCATATAAAATAATTAATTTAATTTCAAGTTTATCCATAAAGAGCATAAAAGGAAAAACAAAGGAGAGTGCAACTTCTCGGTGTAGAAACTAGAAAGAGTTAAAAAAATATGTATTAAAGAAAAATTTAAATTTGAGTTATAGTTACAGGTTGTGGCATTGAGACTTGAGAGGCCTGAAACTGAGTCTTCTTGAGCTGTATTTAAGCGCTAATTTTAGTAAATTCTTGTGTATTCAGCAGCTGTCTGTAATCATCTTTGAAATTGTAAATCATTTTCTTTATTTTTTCAGTTTCTCTCTATTCGTCAATCTACGCCATTGACAAAATCCTTTGAGAAACTCAGATAACGATACCGAAATTCAACTTCGTTTGATTTTAAGGGGGAAAAAAGGCGTAGTCATCTTGTATTGTTGTTGTTATTAGTATTATCACTTTCGTTTTATTTGAAGTGTGTTTGGTTTGATTTTGAAATATGGCGGTTCATCAAATTTCGAGTTCTGAAACGACGTCGTTGATGTTGACGTCCGGCGCGAGCGGGCGGATAAACGCGCTGTTTTCTCGTCGCGCGTTGAGGTGTCTTATCGCGATAATTAATGCGGTTATCGTGATATTTTTGGTTCCGTTTCGGTGCTGGAAACGGTGCGTTATGATTAATTTATCGTCGGAGAAGAATAACAAGGAGTTGGAGAAGAATCTTCAGGAGAGCGGTTGCAGCAGAAAGAGCGGCACCGCAGTGCGTGTGCCGGCGAGGATTTTGCCGTGGAGAAATGGTGGCGGTGGTTTGGAGCAGGAGGTTGTGGCGAGGAGATCGTTGGCGGTTAGAAGAGTTTTACAGGATGATTGTGACAGTGGATATGAGAATTCTTACCAAAAAATTAAGAGAGATTTTTCGCTTTTTGTTACTTCAAGAGGTGATACGTTGTTCACACAGTCTTGGACTCCGATTTCGCTTAATGTCAGGTTCGTTACGTAATCATTTTTATGTTAATTCTCATTATCATTGTCATGGAAATATTAATTTGTGTGAAATTTGTTGATTAGTTTGCCGTGTGGTTTGTGAATCACTCCGTAAATTATCATAATGTTTGAGAAAAGAAGACAAGTTTATTCTGAATCACTGCGTAAATATTTTGAATTTTTTGGTGAATTTTTCCAGCTATATCAACTTACGTGTCAAGTTCATATTCCACGTTTTGCATACCGTGTTTGTGATTGACATGTAGATATGTGATTATGCATGCAGAGCTTTGGATGTAAAGGTGGAATGTATAATTAAAGAAAGAGAAAAGGTTTCTGACAAGAAATTTATCATATTTTTTTTATGATATTTTTTGTTGTTGGAAAACAATGTTTTTCATGGTCATTCATGGGTGTGTTTTGCTTTTTGACTTCTTGTTATTAGTTTTTTTCAATAAAAAAATTGGTGTAATTTGGGATGAGGAAGTGGCAGATAGAGATTAGATTACCTAAATATTCTTCTTGTAAGTGTCACCCTCTTTAGATTTGAATATTAGAACTTAAAAAACCTTGACGCTCTGTATCACATTCATCCTTTGGTTTGGCAAAATGGCTGGTTCCAACATGGAGCATACAAGTATATTCTCTCTTATCCCAAATCACCAGTGTTAAAATCGATGGGCACTATGATATCGGAAAGGAATATTATGGTCAGCATGTATTGATTGTTATAATTCTCTGTATATCGACCGTGGCCCGAGGTTTGCAGTGTCCAAGGGAAGCTTTGGCTATTTGCTTCACGCCTGGTCCCCCTCCCAGTGTCTGGACCACAATTTTTTTTGACTCAGAGGTCTAAGAAAGTTTACCCTGTATGGAAGATTTTGAAAGAAATAAAATGGTACTTGTTTAGCTTTCATTCTGCAGATTGAAACCGGATTTGAGAACTAGTTTTTTTCACACTTCTTTTATTATGGGCTTGCAAAATTTAAAATAATAGCAGTGAAGAAGGGAACTGGTTTTGAAGAGAATGTAGAATGATAGGGAGACAGTCTATGCCTCAATTGTGTATGTGGTGTCCTTTGGTTAAAAGATGAACTGTGTCTCATGTTTATGGTAAATGGTAATAACTTAACACTCATGCCTCTCCTTTTCGTTTAGACTTTTATATCTATGTCTTGAATGATTAGGTAAGCAATGCAATGGTAAAAGGACCTGGGTATTTGGCACATGCTACACTTAAAACATGGCATATAGACTTTTCTGATTGTGAACCATGAAAAAAAGGTAATACCACTAAGAAAGCACTGTTTTAAACTTGAAAAAGGCCAGAGTTTAGTGTGAGGCGCTTTGGTACATGAACATTTTGACAAGGGATCTCCGCATCTGTTAATGATGCATTTTGCTAATATTAGCCAAGAGAGGCATTCCTTCATAATTTATCTTTCACTTTTTCAGCCTCACAGGTTTCTGGCATCTGGAAAAATCATGTAAACTCGTACTCATAATCTGTGCAGCATATTGATTTGGTAGCAGAGAACAATATTTCATCTAAGTTGCTGATTAATACTCTTAGATTTATAATTTGTGTGTCTGATAAAAGCTAAGATTATACATGTCAGACATTACTCTTTGCTAATAAATTAATAACAGTATCAAAGCTATAAAACAAAATTTGGCCATGCAGGTGCTGATCTTCCATTTTATAGCCTTCATAAGGAGAAAGCAGCTTTGTAAGCTGAACTACTTCCTATTGGAAGAAGTTCTGATGATCAAATTTTATGTGTGTGGGGTCATGGAGGCTCACCGTACACTATTATTTAAAAGCAAAGTTGGTCAAAAGTTACTATTAGTTGTTAACTCACAAATATCATATTGTTTAAACTAGTCATTGTGTGCTTAAGAACTAGTGGGTCCAAATGGTGCCATCAAAATGTTCTATGTTGATTTTTCGGGGCCTACATCACCCTGTTAATCAAAGACGTCCCAAAAAAAATAAAGCAAGTGGTGTGGCATTAACTGCCTCCACCCTTACTGTTAGAAACCTTTCATGTCTGTCTACTGCTTAGTGTGGGGCTTTATGCTAACCTTGATGGAATAATTTTCCATCTCCCCTCAACAATTTAAGCATTTAGAAGAATTGGTTGGCAGTATTTCCTAACTTTCTAGACTTACGCTACTATTAACTTGAGTTTTACCATACCACTGGACTATATTAGAATGTGTGTGGTCAAATGTTGCCTATCAAAATTCCTGAGGCATAATTTGTTCAAGTCTGTAACCGTCTTACTTCAGTTGAGCCTATTTCAATACTGAAATTCCTGAATTTTATCTTTAAAAAAGAGACTTGTATAAGACATTTCTCCTTAAAGCAAATAGTGTTTTAGTTCAATTGTGGAGTCTTTTGCAATTTTTTTAATGCCTTCCACTGTATTGGTTCTTCTACTTAATATACAGATTAATTTTTCTTCTTATTTTCACTGCATTTGATGTTTGAGATGAAAGTTTTCCGTATTTTATCTTTCTGGTAGAAATGAAATGCTAACACTCATTTATCTCATGCAGAGGACTAGTTGTGCTTTTGCATGGCCTCAATGAACACAGGTTTGTTACTTATGCTGTGTTGATGTAAAACTTATTTGATTATAAAACCTTGATCTATTGCTTAAGACAGTTTTATTATCTGTAATAGTGGCAGATACAGTGATTTCGCCAAGAATTTGAATGCTAATGGATTCAAGGTTTATGGGGTGGATTGGATTGGTAAGTTTGAATCCATGTTGACATGCTGACCATTTTTGCATTCTTAAGGAAACTAATTCTTTCTTGAACTTGCCTGAACATACCTTGAAAAGTCATATTTCTTCCAAGTGCATTTTATTTTTTAAATCATTTTAGTCCTGGAATGACTAGAAGATATTAAATATTCATCTGTGTCTTTGAATGACCTTGTGCTTGACTATCACTTTTATCATAACAGGTAACCGTTGTATGACAAGTATGATACCATTTATGCCTTTGTTGTTATCCTCTCTGTTTTTGGGGAAAATTTTCCTCATTCTATCAACTTATGAACATTATGTGCAGAAATGATTCCTATTACCAAAAGCAGAGTGATATTATCTAGAAGAGTGTTAACTGCTCGTCATCCATTGAGTCAAAAACAAGAAAGANTGTTTTAAACTTGAAAAAGGCCAGAGTTTAGTGTGAGGCGCTTTGGTACATGAACATTTTGACAAGGGATCTCCGCATCTGTTAATGATGCATTTTGCTAATGTTAGCCAAGAGAGGCATTCCTTCATAATTTATCTTTCACTTTTTCAGCCTCACAGGTTTCTGGCATCTGGAAAAATCATGTAAACTCGTACTCATAATCTGTGCAGCATATTGATTTGGTAGCAGAGAACAATATTTCATCTAAGTTGCTGATTAATACTCTTAGATTTATAATTTGTGGGTCTAATAAAAGCTAAGATTATACATGTCAGACATTACCCGCTTTGCTAATAAATTAATAACAGTATCAAAGCTATAAAACAAAATTTGACTATGCAGGTGCTAATCTTCCATTTTATAGCCTTCATAAGGAGAAAGCAGCTTTGTAAGCTGAACTACTTCCTATTGGAAGAAGTTCTGATGATCAAATTTTATGTGTGTGGGGTCATGGAGGCTCACCGTACACTATTATTTAAAAGCAAAGTTGGTCAAAAGTTACTATTAGTTGTTAACTCACAAATATCATATTGTTTAAACTAGTCATTGTGTGCTTAAGAACTAGTGGGTCCAAATGGTGCCATCAAAATGTTCTATGTTGATTTTTCGGGGCCTACATCACCCTGTTAATCAAAGACGTCCCAAAAAAAATAAAGCAAGTGGTGTGGCATTAACTGCCTCCACCCTTACTGTTAGAAACCTTTCATGTCTGTCTACTGCTTAGTGTGGGGCTTTATGCTAACCTTGATGGAATAATTTTCCATCTCCCCTCAACAATTTAAGCATTTAGAAGAATTGGTTCGCAGTATTTCCTAACTTTCTAGACTTACTCTACTATTAACTTGAGTTTTACCATTCCAGTGGACTATATTAGAATGTGCATGGTCTAATGTTGCCTATCAAAATTCCTGAGGCATAATTTGTTCAAGTCTGTAACCGTCTTACTTCAGTTGAGCCTATTTTAAAATTCCTGAATTTTATCTTTAAAAAAGAGACTTGTATAAGACATTTCTCCTTAAAGCAAATAGTGTTTTAGTTCAATTGTGGAGTCTTTTGCAATTTTTTTAATGCCTTCCACTGTATTGGTTCTTCTACTTAATATACAGATTAATTTTTCTTCTTATTTTCACTGCATTTGATGTTTGAGATGAAAGTTTTCCGTATTTTATCTTTCTGGTAGAAATGAAATGCTAACACTCATTTATCTCATGCAGAGGACTAGTTGTGCTTTTGCATGGCCTCAATGAACACAGGTTTGTTACTTATGCTGTGTTGATGTAAAACTTATTTGATTATAAAACCTTGATCTATTGCTTAAGACAGTTTTATTATCTGTAATAGTGGCAGATACAGTGATTTCGCCAAGAAGTTGAATGCTAATGGATTCAAGGTTTATGGGGTGGATTGGATTGGTAAGTTTGAATCCATGTTGGCATGCTGACCATTTTTGCATTCTTAAGGAACCTAATTCTTTTCTTGAACTTGCCTAAACATACCTTGAAAGGTCATATTTCTTCCAAGTGCATTTTATTTTTTAAATCATTTTAGTCCTGGAATGACTAGAAGATAAAATATTCATCTGTGTCTTTGAATGACCTTGTGCTTGACTATCACTTTTGTCATAACAGGTAACTGTTGTATGACAAGTATGATACCATTTATGCCTTTGTTGTTATCCTTTCTGTTTTTGGGGAAAATTTTCCTCGTTCTATCAACTTATGAACATTATGTGCAGAAATGATTCCTATTACCACAAGCAGAGAGATATTATCTAGAAGAGTGTTAACTGCTTGTCATCCATTGAGTCAAAAACAAGAAAGAGAAGCTCTTCGAATTTTGGGACCTTAGTGTAGTTGAAATGCTCTTGAAATGCTGTCATATGTATATATCATAAACCAAATAAAATAATTATATTTCACTGAAATTAAAATCCTTGATTCTAGTTTATATCAAGAGAAGGGGATCATATGTTAGGACCCAAATAAATAAAAGACAATATAGAAGCCTACACCAGCACATATATACAAGGAAAACACTAAAAAAGAAGAAAGCATAGATTAGGACTCTACTTATTAAGAGGAGATGATACAGATTTTGATTCTAAAACCTTATACTAAAGGCTTAGCAACAAGAAGTGATATTTTTAATTGCCCACTAGAGTATTGTGTAGTTCAGTAACAGATGCCATGTACAGTTCTTACAAGGTGAACCATCAGTTTGAGGAATTTGAATTTGCTTCCATAAACTTGGATAGCAAAATTGCAAATTCAAGCCCATTTTGATTTGGTATACATAAGGTGTTAGGATTACTTAAGAATGAAGTATAGACAAAGCAAAGACTCATTGTTTCCTCAAAAGTATTTTAGTGGTAACTTCTACAAGAGTTACCCTTTACCTTTTATTTGATGAGGTGGAAGCTAAGCTCTGTAAAGGCTTACTAATAGTTTTTTTTGAAATTTTTTTACATATAACCATGCATTTATGGCATACTTCCTTCAGCTTATCCTTCAAAACACTATTGCAGTTATTAATGTTTTATAGTCTAGAGACTATGTCTTCAACCATGCATCTATATTTGGATGTTGCAGGGATTGAGTCATTCAATTGGGAAGCCCATTGGTGCCAAAAAGTAAAACCTGAAGCTTCTCTTAATAAGTAAGCTTATCTGTGAGCTTGGGTCTGAACTTATACTCGTAGGAGTGGTAAAGCTTTAAAGCGAGTATGCATGCTTCAAAAATAAGCCAAAACCTCTAGGAACTGTGTTCCTGTTTTATACGAGTCAGGGAGTCATGATTTAGATCTTCAGTCCATATATTTCCTTTCTCGTCTTAAATTTCAATGGATCCAGGAATCACTTCATATTGAATATGTCTATAAGTACATTTGGGCACTTGCATCGAGTGCATTTTGATGTAAATTTTGTGCAAGTTGCAATGGCTGAAACTATCTCAAGGCCTTCTTTTTTCCAAGTATATTAGACTTGGGTGTCTACACACTTCATTGCTGTTAGGCATGTAGTTGACGCTAAATGGATCAATCAGGCATAGCCTAGATGCATTAGCATACGAAAAAGTTGTAATTGACATAAATTTTTAAAGATAGGAAGTTTGAACTTCTGCATATTTTATCATTCAATTTAGTTTTTCATAATTTCTAGTCCAAATCAGATAAGTTTGTTTGCTTTTTCTTTCTCCTTCTAGGTCACGGTGGAAGTGATGGACTGCATGCATACGTTCATTCTCTTGATGATGCTGTCAATGATTTGGTATGTTTTAAGATTCATGTCAAAGATGCTGATAAAATTAACCTTAAAATAAATCTCAGGTTCATTTAAATTATCTTATCTTCAACTTTGTACAGAAATCATTTCTTGAGAAGGTTTTAGCTGATAATCCTGGCCTTCCATGTTTTTGCTTTGGCCACTCGACCGGTGCATCCATTGTGCTTAAGGTAAGTTTTCTATGCAATGAAGAATACTTTAATGATTCTAATTAACTTTTTTCAATAAACAACTTTATAACTTGGAATCTAGTTGTAATTTTCACCATTTACCTGAACAAATTAGGCAGTGCTTGATCCAAAGATCGAGGCCCGTGTAGCAGGTGTAGTACTCACTTCACCTGCAATAGGAGTTCAGCCATCACATCCAATTTTTGTGGTAAGAACACTATTCAATTACATCTTATATGTAGTTTTCCCGACTTGTTTTTGATATTTTCTGTTATGTTAATATTAACGACACACAAAACGTTATCAAATCAATTGGCGCTGCCAATTTTTTGATGTTGATAGTTCATTTATCATAGGTGCTTGCTCCAATTGTCTCATTTTTGTTGCCAAGATACCAAATCAGTGCTGCGAATAAGAAGGGAATGCCGGTGTCTCGGGACCCTGAGGCGCTTGTGGCTAAGTATTCTGACCCACTAGTGTACACTGGATCCATCAGGGTAAGGACTGGCTATGAGATTCTTCGAATCACGACCTACTTGCAGCAGAATCTCAAAAGATTGAGAATTCCTTTTTTTCTGCTCCACGGCACTGCCGACACTGTAACTGACCCAGATGCTTCTCAAAAACTGTACGAGGGAGCATCCTCGACTGACAAAACAATCAAATTATACGAAGGTTTCTTACATGATCTCCTCTTTGAACCGGAACGAGAAGACATTATGAAGGAAATAGTGGAGTGGTTAAATCTTAGAGTACAGGGTCAGAGAGTGCGATGATTGGTCAAAGTCCAAATAGAAAAAGGTATGAAGAAACCAAAAGAACTAGAAATTTGGTGAGAGGCCATAATGCAGAATGCAGCATGAAGCTTCCCCAAGTTAAGTTCATATTTGAAAAAAAAAAAAAAAAAAATGTTGTGCCCAAATAACATGAAAGCACACATGCTGAAACATGGATTAAAACAATGTCTTGAGGATTAAGAAAATCCTCGTAATGTTTTTCATTATTTACATGGCAAAAGATGGGGATTGCCACCGTGTCAAGAATTCGATCGCCCGCGGTTGAAGTTTCTAGACATATTTCCCATTGTTTAGATTAAATATATATTATAATTGCCCCTCCTGCTTATGATTCATGACATAATGTCTTGATAAGTATTATTTGAAAGCTTCATGACCATTTCTGCAAGAAGACTCAAAGAAAAAAAGCCGCAAGAAATGGTACGGTTATACTTATTTAAGTCTCTTGTTCTATTTACTAATTTCATTTTAGGGGATTTGATGCTTTCGTAAAGTTTGAACGCGCTTCGTATTGAACAATGCTGTAATAGGTTTACTTCATGAATCCTTTATATAAATAACAATAACAATAAAAGAGTTCTACTTTCAGATTTACTTGTGAAATAACAAGCACAAGCATATTCACATTATACCACCAAAATAGAAGTTCACTGGCTACAATTCTAACCAGATTATGATCCCTGAGTTGATTTTGATGTATTTGGTCCCTTCATCATCTGACTCGGATTCTCGGAATGACTGCATGCCAAATCTAAGAAAAGGTGACTTAACCAGTGAGGAAAAAAAAAAAAAAAGGTAATAATACGCTCATAAACTCTCTTACAAACAAGACAATAGAAACTCACAATTGATTAACTTGCAATGGATCCCACCTACCCAACAAGAGGTCTTATCTGATCAATTGCGAGTTATCATGTTGCGTTTGTAAGAAAAGTTTGTTAATCTGTCTTTATATATATATATATATATTATCACAAATCAAAACAATTACATGAACCACAACAATAAGCGGCAGCTCCATGATTTTTTTGTTCAGAATAAATCTTCAGAAAAAAGATTAAATATAAAAGATTTTTCAGCAATTTAATTCATACACAATTCCAAATATTCTTTCCACAAAAGAGATACCAGTTCACAACTTGGCAATAAAGAAAGATACAAATTTATAAAGCATAGTCGGCATACCTTAAAAACTTTCAAGAATCAGAATGAAATTGGCACGGCTCTGCTCATCCGCTCTCCTTTAAATTGGAAAAAAAGAAAAAAATAAATAAATAAACATCCAACAGAGATGTCCACTATTATCAAATGTTATAGTTGAACTTCTTTCTAATAACAGGATATGGAGAAAATCTCTGTCTTCTTCTATGTTAAATTAATACATTGAATACAATCACCATCCAGCAGCTCTACATGCACCAGAGGAGAAAGAATAAAACAGGTAGAATGTGCAATGCTCCACATAATGGTCTTAACCATATTGAGATGATAAACCTAAGTGTTTCACATATGAAGTACTTGACCTCGAGGAATCAGCTAATCTTTTTAAGGTTCATCCATCAAAAAGCTTAGGACAGAGTGACCACTGTTTGGAGAAGGAAAAAAATTCGGCAAAGAGACCAAAGAGAATTTTGCAAGAAGTGGAAGTCAATATGAAAGCACAACACCACCATATTGCCATCACCACGCCAGTTAACCTTACTAGTTTTAGTAAAATCATGTATACTGTGTAAATCAATTAGTCATTGACAGTCTAACACCCCATCAAAAAATGATGGAACTGAATCTTCAAAACAGATCTCAAAAGCCTACACACCCAACGTATTAGTCACTCACTTTTTGGGTATTGAAGATGTCCAATTATATGATGCAATTCATTTTAAAAAAGAAAATCTATTTTTGAGTTTAGTGATTTCAGAAGAAATGTCAAATGCACATTTTGGAATGATATAGTTAGAAGTTTCTTGATCATTTTATCTACATGGGAGCACAAGCTATTCATTTTCATGTTCTAAATTCTAACGCATGCTCAATGATATGTAGTTATAAGAGTTTGAAACTGATATGCAAATAGCCAATAGAACCAGATAGAATATACCTCCAACACGGTTTTATATTCCTGATCGACTACTTTGCAGAGAATTTCATAACTCTTGTCAACTCTAGTCTGCATAAAACAAGACTATGAATACAGATAACATGAAGATATCATGTGTAATGTGTTCAACAATTGCATACCAATGGATCAACTCTTGATGGTGATATACTTGATATGATATATCTGCAAGCAATAAAGATTCAATAATGAGTCAGCCATATAAACCAGTTCCAATAACAAAATCCTAAGCGAAAAACAATTAAGGTGAACATATGAAAAAAAGGTGAACCATTTTGAAGTTTTACAAACATAAACACCATGTAAAAATGGCAATTGAGATTCTTATCGATTAATTTGTCCTTAGATTCAAGATGTGTGTCAACAGTGATGAACTCCATGACAAGCTGACCATCACTTTCTCACAACAAAAGATTTTAATAATATTCACCTATGCCTTTAACCATTCCCAAATAAATGAAGCTACAACTTGCTGCTCTAAATTGCTGGGTTTTATTCATATATGTTTTAAAATCAACATCACACTAAGCAAATCGTTGTTACTTCATATTATAGAGCCTTTAGGAACAAACATACGAAGAAAAGAAGCATGTGAATGTTTTCAGTTTGGTAGCAACTGATAGGACAACAATATGGTAGAAACATTAAGTCTAGAGGGGATGAGTTGCCCTGTCCAAAAACCAATTCATCACAGAGCATGTTAATATTTTCAGTTTTCTCGATAGACCATTTTCAGCTCTGGAAAGATTTCAATTCTTTAGTTTCATCCAATGATATGAGGACTTTTTAATACAGTACAAACACTGCATAAGAACTAGAATGAAAATAGACAGTTAAAAGAAAGGAAGGAGACCATCATATTTATTTTTCCTCTTTATCTAGGATGAAGCACTACTTTATTATTACTTTGCATCTAAGAGGACTTTCCCCCTAGAATAAGGTCTGCTTGACTTCTGCAGAAGGAATTATTGAAACAGTACTCAAATAATATATAAATTAATAAAATAGCTCCTTTGAATTAATCATAGAGCTTTTAAATTGATATAAAAGATATATGGTGGTACTGTCAAGGTTAAAAATTTACCTCAGCTTACTTAAATAGAAATTCATTGCTAACAAGTTTGTTTTTTGAACAGTTAGCACCACAGCACCCATGCAGTTCTACAGAAGATGAAATTACTACATTAAGGACAAACATGAAACACATAATGTATCTTTAATGTTAAAATAGGGAAACCGGCTCAGTGATATGCAGACTTTTATCAAATCTAAAATAGAAAACATTATGGAAATTCCAACATGAGAACACTTTGATAAGAGCAATAAAAATTCAAGAAAAAATGTAGTGTGATACATCAATATTGACATTTTACAATGTTGCTGACACTGTCTTATTGAAAAATATTTTATTAATCATCAGCAAAACATATTTGGAGAACAGAAATTTTCACCTTACGAGCAATTAGCTCAATCAATTGCATCAAGAATTTCCCTAGTCCTTTCCTCTGAAGACGAGGCTCAAGCTGTAGTTCATACACATAGAGAACCGGGACCTCTTCCTCCAAGGTAAACCGATAATGTACAAATCCAACAATAGGGGCTTTATCTTCAGTAGCACTTGCATTTGGAGGTTTGCCCTCACGTACAAAAATGTAACGTGCTTCAGGGGCAACCATTTCTCTACGCTTCACCTTTTCCTCTGTGGGCCACTCAGAGCCATAAGGCCCCTCCATATTGACCTATTAAGTTCGAAAAAAGTTAGTAAATGAGATAACTACAAAACTATACTACACATCCCAAGCAATATTCCAAATATATAATCACAATTAACATGTCATTATCGTTAATATAATGCTTCCCATATCAGGTCATCATTTACAAATCACTTAACAAAAAATTTGAGATACTACTTAGAAAGACGTATCTCAAGTTATATCTCAGATTCCTAATCCCAAGTGATGTGTCCAACCAATATTACTAACCGCATCAGCTCATCATTTACACATTACCTACCACATAAAACAACGCATCACTTGATTTAAAACAGGAAAAATGAGATAGTACTCAAAACCTATAGCATTATCCGAAATTCAGAATACCACTTCAGCCGTGTAACATTATTCAATAATTAAAGTACATATAATTGAACTGGACTCTTAAAAATGAACAAATAAATAAATTAAGACTAGGTGAGATTACCTTTAGCAGATTTTGAATGTAGTGCTTCTCAGAAGAGGAAAGTTTATCCCCACGCCCAGATTCCAAATGCACACACACGCCTAATAATCAAAATCACCATTGCACAAAATTCAAACTTATCTATAAGACCCAAGCACATAAAAGGGAAAAATCACGAAAATACCATTCCTTTGGAAATGGCGAAATGGCGGGAAATAATCGAGATGATCGTTTTGAGCATAAGCAGCTTTGATAAGTTGATCGATTGCCTTCTTCTTTTCCAGAATCTAAACACATTAAAATTAAATTACATCAAACAGTTTATAAAATATCAAATCAATCCCTCAAATTTTATCAAAACAGTCACTAAAAGCTTTTACCTCTCGTCGTTTAAGCTTCTTCTCTGAGCTACTACTGCTTGGGAGCCTCCTCGACTCCATTGATGCTCACTGCTCTCTCTCTCTCTGTTTGTGTTTCAATTTTTTTGATTTTCCCTCTCGAAGACGTTTCTGGTTCGAAGCCTTTGTTTTTGTGGCTTGTTAAATCATTGATGAAAAATATGAATTAAATCATTCTGGTCCTTGAGGTTTGGCCTATTTACCAGTGAAATCTGATAATAACACTTAGGTCCTATTTTTGTAAAAGTCCAAAATACCCTTTCCAAGTTAATAATTTTTATCTTATAATTACCATAATTGTTCTTAATTTTTAACAGTTCAGTTACCAACCTTTTATTTTTTATAATTTCAAAACAAAATTGAGGGCATTTTAGACTTCTACAAAAAGTTGTGATAAAATTACTTTCAGACAGGGACTTAAACGATACTATCATATTCTACGGGATCTAACGGTTATGGTCCAAATCTCAAGGACCAAAATAGATTTAAGTCATGAAAATATTATTAATTGGTTGGTTTTTTATAAATTTATTTATAATATTATTAATTAATAATTAATCACTTTGCAAATTTGGCTTTGGCTATCAAATTGAACAAATTTTGTCATAATTGTGTAGTAAATTGATAATAAACTATGACAAGTTAGATCCTACGAGATGATGTTAGATCTTAACATTGTGATAAATTACGGGTGTTAGATGACACAGTAAAATATTTTAAATAAATAATTATACACATAAATGATATTTATTTTAGTTCAATTCATATAGAGTGACATAAAGTTTAATTATAATTGAAGAACTAGATTAATTGTGCAAAAGAAACATTAACTAAGTTGGTTATTTGAACTTAAAAGTATTTATTTTGGGGGTTTATAAAATCTTAATTGTTAATTATTCATTCTCTAACGAATCACCTCATCACTTCTACCCTTATGATACGAGTCTCATCATCCAGCCATCAGCATCTTATACTAATTAATGGCGGCACATAGTAATGCTGATCGTGTGACAACATTGTGCCCGATTATTATAATTATAATTATTTTGATTTTGTATTAATTATAATTATTTTAAGGTTGGTATTCTTTTTATTTCATAATATAAATTTCAAAATATTTGACTTCAGAAATTTTTGTTTTAAATAAATATGTATCTTTACGTATTTTCTTAAATTCATTTATCCTAATAAATTCATTTTGTAATTAATTTTTTTTTTTTATTATCGTTCTATTAAATGTTTGTTTAGATTTGTTATGTAAATGTGTAACCCTAAAAAGTATCATTGTAAGTTCAAGGTTGATTTTTTTGAATTTTGGACACTTAGTGAAGGATTTAAGAAATTGTTTTCAGTTTGTTATAGATGAGAGGGGTAAAATAGACTTTTGAATTTAAAACTGGATGGAACCCTAACATATCATTAACAATATTAATAACATGTGTGTTTTTAATACTTTCTGAACGAAGGGTGTCAATGAATATGAATGTGACTTTGATACCATAATAAAGTGGATTTGAGTAGAACTCATTCCTAAAAGCTAGCTCAAGAAAAGAGGGAGTTTAACCACTCATATATACAGCATAACAATCCACCAATTTGGCGATATGAGACAAATACAACTTCTAACATTCAAATTGTTTTTAACTTTGTTTCATTGCTTTTTTCACTATCTTTCTTTTACCTATTTCAATAATTTATCTGGATTTTTCAATTGAAAGGAGGTAAATTGATTTATTTCAATTGAATGAGTTTGATTGATTGCAAAACGGGTTTGCATTCACTATTTCATGTTTTTGTGTCCACAATTCTAGTGTTTACCACCATCCGATATATTACTATTAGCCAGCTCCACACTATAGATCTATAACAATAAAAAATCAATAATACTATACTTACAAAAAAATCTTACAAAAATTTTCATACGAAATGAGGTGGCAAAAACTGAATAGAATAGTGAATTTAATGAGTTCAACTTTTTGTTACACTCTTCCATTCATTTTTTGCAGCATCACTTTGTATGGAGATCTTTGTAAAATTTCTTTATAAGTGTAATATTACTAAAAAAAAAAAAAACAAAAAAATCCTTAATTTCAATTACTTATGCCGATTCTAACCCTTACCCAAAAATCCTTAATTCTATCTTTACCAAAAATTCCTAATTTCAATTATTTATATAGAAGTATTAAATTATATCGTGTATATCTTCTGCATATATAATATTAATATTACCTGATATAAAAAAATTATTTGTTATGTTTTAAATGTAGATATAGTTTCTATAGCCTTCCTACAATGTACGATCAACTCATAAGACCTATTGTGGCGGATATAATCGAGATTGAAGTGGAGGTGAGATTTTTTAAGGAAATGAAAGTGCGGAATAAGGCGTAGATAGTTGTACAAGTATATAAGGTACATTGTTCAAACTCTAACCCTAGAATTTGAATTATGGTCTTTTTTTTTTTTTTTTTTTTTTGTGACAAATTTCATTTTTTTTAACATTAATGTTTTGAACAATGTTACTTAAATACGTGTACAACCATCTACATATTATTGTAAATGTTACATTAATAGAAAAATAGATTATCTTCATCATTATTGAGAATTATATATTAAATATGTTTGGTTAGATTAAAATAAATTAATAAGTATAAATAATTAATATGTTTGGTTAGGTAAGTAAAAGAATTATAGGAGAAGCTTATTAAATTGCTTTTTTTTTTTTAAAAAAAGAAAATATTATAATTATATTATTATTTTTTATCTCCGAGAATTTAGCTAAAACTCCATAGTCATAATAAACGTTTAAAATTTAACAAAATATCACTAGCCAACCTTTGGCCCTTGCCTCCTTTGCTGCTGGTCAACAACCCTTTGCCTTCCCTTGTCGTCGATCATCCTCTCCATCCCCTCCATGTCGTCGTGACACTTTGTCTCCCCTACCACTGACAACAATTCGACTTCCAACGACGTTTCCTCCATTTTCCAACATCGTTTGCCCTTCCCCAGTTGATTCTGTCAAAGATTGGTTGTGATTATTCATATTCCATCGACTGCGGTTCAACTTCTTCACCAAATTTTGCTCACTTTTAGGCGATGTTTGGGCTCCCCAACTACCTATTTGGACACCCTAGCACCTGATCAACCTTCCCTCATGTTTGATCATCATTTTGCCATCAACAGTGGTGGCTAGCGATCGACGATGGTGGTCGACGATCAACTGTGATACTAATTTGGCGATGACATTTGGTAAAAATATAAGAGTAATAATGTCTTACAAATCTTGTATATAAGGTTAAAATAGCCTATGAATATTCCTGTAAATTGTTTTGAGATAAAAAAAAGGGCATTAGTGTCCAAATTTTTTATTAATTAGAGATAAAATTGCAACAAAATTAATATTACCAAATAATCTTAGAATACCTAAGAAAAATGGAGTATTCAAGTTACCATCTATATAGCCTACAATAATCACTATTAGTATTGAAGGATTATCGGAATCTTTTATTACTTGACAATTAAACATGATAATGTCAGTAATATAAGATAATATTACTAGAGAAATACAGGATTACCCCCAAACAAATGCTCCCTTAAAGTAAGTTCACATAAGCATCAATAAAATCTCTGCCATCTCAAAAACATATTAACTCGCCAAGAAACAGAATGTCAAGAATAAATCTCAATTATTTTCAAGATACAGATCACTCACAATTTTTAAAGGCACACCATTTTCAAGATAGAAATCACTCACAATTTTCAGATACACCATTCTTTTCAGAATAAGAAATACTAACATAAAATGTAGACATGCAAAGATTTACATACGTATTAATCTTTGAGACCCATTTTCTTCAATCACTCGGGATGGATGATCAACTTTTTTGCCACTAATCGGATGCCTGCACTCTGCTGATAATCATATGGATCAACGGAGAGGAATGCATCCACAAAGGTACCTTGTTTGAACAAGCTATCGAGCTCTGCAGCATCAAATTTGACGGACGCAAGCTTTTGTACAGTCCCAGATGGTCCTTTCTGGCATATCTCTGTGTCATATCGGGTAACATCGCCACTTACAGTAGTAGGTATGCTGTTTAAAACAGGGGGAACACGTATCTAATTAGGTGCATTCTCAGTACATGAAGAACAAAGACTAATTTAACACTGAAGCAAAGATCAATGTTTCATTAGCTATATTTTGCATGTCATAGTCATGCTATGAACAATGGCTATGATACTGCAATTCACATATTCATCTTCAAATATATTACAAACTTTTGAACCACTTCATTGTTGCATTAACCCAAATAAATCATGAAAATCATTGAAAAGAATTACTACTTAAAGAAAACTAAACGTTAATGATTAATAAATTATGAATCAATGCACATGGAAAAATGAGTTTCTTGAAGATCTTGTGCCTGCGTTTTGTTTTCCTTTTCATTTGTAATTTTTGCACCTAAGACACTACTCAAGGAAAAAAAACACATAGGGAAATATATCAGGTATTCTAAATTCCAGAAGCATGCAGTTCCATGAGGAAAAAATATATACATTCCTGGCGACAGAAATTTAATATTTTGCAGTATTTCATAAGCTGAAGCAATCATTCATTTCCTTGTCACAACAACAAAAAAAAAAAAAAAAAAAAAATGAATGAAACCTATGAAGGGAAGACTTACCGTAATCTTGCGGTGGGATAGTTATAGAAGCAATTTTTTCTGGTCACAACAGGCTGCCACTCAGAACTACTACCAGAATCCATGCTCAATTTCTGTGCAGCACTATCACATGCATCAAGAACCTCACATAAAATTGGAGGTACGTCAACCACAAAACTCAACTGTGGCAAAAACATCCAACTTAATCCACCATATCGTATTCTCAAACGAGCACAATAAAGATGCAAAATGACATCTCTGTGCAATATTTTAATTCTCTGACTTTGACTACCATGAAACCCTCGGAAGAAACAGGCACTGATGTTAGGAGTTGAAACTTTATCAGGCTCTATAAATGCATCATGGCCACTTGAACCCTCAGAGACAGCAGCTGCTGAATTCATCTCGGGAGACATCAATTCCGTCTTTTCTTCCATGGTGACATCTGGCTGAAGGGATTTAATTTCCATCTGATTGCTAAGTTGGTCCATAACAAAAGAACCTGTTCCCTCTGGATTAGCTACAGCTGAATCAGAGACCTCCTCCCCTCTTTTGTGAGTCAGCAAAGATCTGTTGACAGTGAATATGTCTGGGAGGATTGACTCCTGCAAATATGGCAAAGTTAGGTCAATTGATAGCTTGTTCAAAGTCATTATATGGTAAAATTAAAATAAGCCTAGGTACACAAAAAAAGGAAAAAAAAAAAAAAAAAAGGCATTTGTGCGATCATATAAAAAAGAGAATCGACACAACACTTCAACAAATGCTATATTTAATAATCTTACTGACTTTGATACTAAAAAAGGAATCAGTAAACGGTAGAAGTTGCAAGCTAATATGACATAAAATAGTTATGGTCAGAACAAAAGAAGACGTGCATGGTGACATTGTCCTGTTTTGCAGCATGAGGCTTAGCTTAAAGTAAAATTTGAAGACATTAAAGGTTAATGCATTGAAGTTCGTGGAGGATTTTCATCTTTCACCAAAGTTCTGAAAGCTATCTATCCATTTGTCTGTATGCAATATTGCTCTGATCATCGTGAAAACACAGTTGAACAAGATGAACTAGCAATAAAGCATGTCGTACTCATTGGATGGCAAATAGAGCTGACACATAACTGATTAAAATTTGAAGAAACCATAAACTGGCAATGGCTTATCAGCCAAGAAAAAGCAAGTCTACTGCTTTAGAAACTAAATAATTACCAAGAACAAGACTGTTGCGCAATGCTTGAGAACTTCAAGATTCATCCGAACATCATCTAAGCTCCTGAGAGAAAATAGCAAAAGTTATTATCTCAAGGAGAAGGGGAGAACAAATAAGATAACTCCTTGGAGGCAGTAAAAATACCTATGTGTCTGCTGCCCAAGCTCAAAGTACTCGGCTAGAGTGGCCATCTGCAGAGATATTAACATATCAACATCCAAAAGTCAACAGTAATAAAAAACCTAAAATACAATACCATTGAGTAACCCTGTAAACTGAGTGCAAGTTAGCTTTCCATAAATTCATGCTTAGACATAATATATGAGATATTAGGAACCTGGTTGCAAGATATCAAGTTAGGGCTAAATCATAATAGCAATATTCAGAAGTTTCTCAAAAACAAGGGCACTTTCTGGGTTCATAATTCTGTGGATTACATTAAGAAGAATTTAATATGATTTTAGAAAAAAAAAATTAATAAGAAGGATTTTGGAATTCAGAAGGCATAGAATACTAAAAATAGTGATATGATAAAAAACAACAGACAAGAAAGTACATTAAGACTTAGTTGCAAATGAGCAAATAGAGGAGGGACCTGAGAGGTCAAAAAGAGCAAAGAGGAGAAACCATTTCACCTATACACAATATGTGAGAATTTAACCCTTCTTATATATAAGGGTACCCATTTTTAAACATCTCCGAGGGAAACCAAACAATAAAAAGTTATAACCTTCGTCCATCTCACTTTCTATCCCCCAAGCATGAACCCCTTCACTTCGCCTCTCTTTACCTTCATACCAAACACGTGTCTAAGGAAAAGTATAGTCCAATGACAACAAAAACAAGAACCTTAATTCAGAAGAATATAGAATAATATAAAAACAATGGAAACGAAAAAAAAAAAAGGAGAGAGAAAAGCTTGGTCTTTAATGGAAACTAAGTCACACAGATAAACATGAAATGGTCCCAAAACACACATTAATTCAGATATAACTGGTGAATTTATAATTATAAGAACTTAAACGAAAGGGAGGCCAGTAAATATTACCTTCATGTCACCAGCTCTCCTTCCAAACCTCTGCGTCAACAATGCCCAGGTGTCAATCGTCTCCTTTGGCTCAGGAGGGGCCTGACCAACCTCCGCAAATGCCTCTTTTATTATCTCACAATCAAACTTCACTATGTTATGACCTGCCCATATTCTCCCTACACACAAAAACACAATCAATTTCACATCAAAATCACAACTTTAAATAATTTCAACAAAAAAGGCAAGAACTTTAAATGGACCGTGGAGGATGTCAAAAACGGTATCGGCGATTTCTGCGAAGGTAGGGGCAGAGTTGATGGCGTCAGGCGTGATGCCGTTCCTGCGGGCGGAGAATGAGGAAATGAGCGAGGGGTCGGTGGGTCGGACGAGAGTGGAGTAGTGATCGAGCTCCTTGAGTTTTTTAGGACATACGAGGATGGCTCCAAATTCAAGAATGGTGTGGGGCTGGTCGGGGGTTGAGAAGGTGGTTTCGAGGTCAAAGAAGGCGATTTCGGATCTGTCTGCAGGTGTACCCATGGCTGCAATGGATGGCTGCAATTGTGCGAAGAGGTTAACGTAGGCACCAATTTGATTCGTATTTAAGATTGACTACTTTCGATTTTTTGTTAACTTAAAAAAATGAGGTTTTGCTTGCTGGATAAGTTTCATAAAGCACACAAAGAAAACATCAAAAGTTAAAAACAAAAAGCAATTAAAGAAAAAGAAAAGCTTGATCTTTATTAGATACGCACAGATAACATGAAAGGGTCCCAAAAAACGATTAATTCACATATAAATGGTGAATTTATAATTACAGGAAAAACTAAAGCAAAAGGGAGGTCAGTAAATATCACCTTCATGTCACTAATTCTCCTCCCAAACCTCTGCGTCAACAATGCCAAGTAGTCAATCGTCCCCTTTGGCTCGGGGAGGGCCCGACCCACCTCCCCAAATGCCTTTCTTATTCTCGCACAATAAATCTCACTATGTTATGACCCGCCCATATTCTCCCTACACATGCAAACACAATCAAATTCACACCAAAATCACAACTTTAAATAACCTAAACAAAAAAGATAAGAAATTTGAACGGACCGTGGAGGATATCAAAGACAGTATCAGCGATATCGGCCAAGGAAGGGGCACAGACGACGGCGTAGCGAGTAATGCCGTTGCAGCGGACGGAGGGAGAGGAAATGAGCGAGGGGTCGACGGGTCTGACAAAAGCGGAGTAGCTATAAAGCTCCTCCAATTTTTTAGGACATATAAGGATGGCTCCCAATTAAAAAATGGTGTAGGCTGGCCGGGTCGGGTTGGGTCGGTGATTTCCACATCGAAGAAGGCCATTTGTATACCTATGGCTGCAATGGATGACTGAAATTGAGCGAAGAGGTTAATGGAGGCGCCACTTTGACAGGGTTGGATACCCAAAAAAACCCGTGACTATCACACGGGGAATACTCGAAAAAGTTCGGGTTTGGGGGCTTTTTTCCGTTCGCCAGAACCCGGTACGGGGGTGGGAAAAGGTGGAAAACCTGCAAAACTCGACCTCGTCCCTGTCCCGCTAAAAATATAAAATATATTAATATATATAATTAATTAATTTAATAAAATAAAGAAATCCGAGGGTGTTCCGGTAGGAGGAAGAGTATTTCATTCCCTTCCCGATGATATCAGTCCCATCTCTGCTTTGAAAATCTGGGGTTAGGGGCTTAGGGCTGGGAAAGGATAAAGCAATATGTGAGCGGTAAGCCCGATCATTAAATATTAGCGGGTACGGGCTCCATTTTAGGAATAACAGAAAATTTTGGTGCCGGCCGTTAGTATATTATAACCTATACAATAAAAATTAGCGCAGGACTCAATTTGACAAATTTTCTCTAACAACTCCACCGTACAGTTCGTAATTAATAGCTCATAATTAGATAGATAAAACTCATAATGAGTAGACAAAATCTATTTACGAACTAATTAATTTCAAACTGCCTTATTGAGATTATGAGAGAAAGTTTATAAGATTGGGATATCAATGTCGTTCTCTCACTATTTATGTTGTTGGCCATTACACTCTGCGTTCAATATTAAGGTTGATATTATCGAACCTATTCACAATTTCTCGTTCGACTATAATGCTTAATTTTAATAGCATTATAACCCTTCTGTTGTAAAATATTTTGGTAGACATCATTGTCTTTAAATTTGAGGCGATGAATGGAGGAGGGGGCGTTGGCTATAAAAAGCCCTTTTCCCCTTAATTTTATGATTACAATGAAGTGAGAAAGATAAGAAGATTTACAGCCCCCTTCAACTTTACCTTCTTAAATATTTTGTCTTCCTTAATTTATTACACTTATACCACTAAGATTATAACACGTTATCAACACGAAGAGCTTAACAAGTGTGATGATGCACGCCTATTGAAAGATGGACTTCGAAACTGAGACATCGATATCCATTAATGGAGGAGACATTTGTACAGTAGGCAGTGCAATAACGTATACCATCCTTCGGGATAGAAAAAATTTCTCAACTTTTACCTTTACTGAGATTAAAATAAATACCATATCAGGATCAGCAAACATTATTGAGGGCTCTGGAAGAGCAAAACTCATGTTACCAAGCGGAATTAAATTAAGTATCCATGATGCTTTATATTCTAGCAAATCCAGAAGAAATTTGCTTACTTACAAAGATATACGACTCAATGGATACCATATTGAAACTTTAAGTGAAAATGATAGTGAGTTTCTATGCATCACTACTAATATTTCATGCTAGAAGCATGTACTAGAGAAACTCCATGCTTTCTCATCAGGGTTATATTACACATTCCTGAAGAATTTTGAAGTCTATGCAGTTATGAACCAGAAGTTCCCTGATCCTGAACTTTTTAAAATTTGGCATAACTATCTTGGTCACCCAAGATCTACTATGATGTGTAAGATCAAAGAAAACTCACATGAGCACCCATTAAAGAACCTGAAGATTCCATCAGCTAATGAGAGTGCTTGTATTGCTTGCTCACAAGGCAAATTGGCACTTAAGCCATCCAACACTAAAGTTGGTGTAGAATCCCCATCATTTTTACAAAGAATTCAAAGGGGCATATGTGGACCTATTCATCCACCAAGTGGACCTTTTCGCTACTTCATGGTACTAATTGACGCATCAGCACGATGGTCACATGTTTGTCTACTATCTACCTGCAATATTGCCTTTGCTAGATTACTGGCACAAATTATCAGATTACAAGCACACTTTCCAGATTACCCAATTAAAGCAATCCGTTTGAACAATGCTAGTGAGTTTACCTCAAAGACATTTGATGATTATTGTATAGCAATGAGAATTGATGCTAAGCACCCAATAACACATGTACATACCCAAAATGGTATGACAAAGTCATTTATAAAGCATATCCAATTAATTGCAAGAACTTTGCTATTACGTACACAATTACCGACATATGCTTGGGCTCATGCTGTTTTACATGTTGCGGTGTTAATTCGCCTAAGACCCATTGCATATCATCAATACTCTCCAGTACAACTTGTATTTGGACATCAACACAATATATCCCATTTAAGAACTTTTGGTTGTGCTGTGCAAGTTCCAATTGCACCCCCTCAACACACCAAAATGGGACCTTAACGTCATTTGGGAATATATGTGTGCTATGACTCACGATCTATTATCAGATATCTTGAGCTCCTAACGGGCGATCTGTTTACCGCACGTGTTGTGGATTGCCATTTTGATGAGACAACATTCTCATCTTTAGGGAAAAAGGTAAAGCCTCCTGAAGTAAGACCTAAACTTTCCTAAAAAGTCAATTCTATGTCTCATTTAGATCATCACACATCTCAATCTAAAATTGAAGTGTAAAGAATAACAAATTTGCAAAATATTGCTAATCAAATGTTTGATGGATTTACAGACGCAGCAAAAATAATGAGATCATACATTCCTGCTATCAATACACCAACAAGGATTGATGTTACCAATGAACAATCCATACGGGCAGCGATCGATTCATCAGTTGCACACCAGAAGCGTGGTAGGCTTGTTGGAGCTAAGGATATTGTTCTTAAGAAACGAAAGGCACAAAATCAAATATGTGCCAATATTGACAATATTGGAATAATCGACAATTCCACATCTTCTAAACTAACTCCAGAAGAGTTAATAGTCCCTGAACGGACAAAAACCCCTGAAGAGGAACAAATCCCTAAAGGAATGCAAAAACATAGAAATAAAGAAATTTCTATAAACTATGCTCATAGTAAAGAAATGTGGAATCGTGAAACAACTATTGTTGATATCATATTCTCATACGCAATAGCTACTGAAATTATGAATGTTGCATAAATTTAGTGTTTTTAGATTTGTTTTTATAGCCGTTTAGTTAATTTCTCATTTGTTTTCTTTGTTTTGATGTTAGTTTTTGTTAAGTTTATGATGTGAATGGTCAGCAATTGATTTGGAGATTTTTTTTGATTTTCAGACTTTAATTGAGTAGATTGCAGCATTGGAATGAAAATGGGATTTAAAGCTTGGAAAAATTGAGATGAGTTGACAATTTTGAAGGTCATGGCCATGCCTTGCTGGTTCACCACGACTATAGTGGTGGAATAAGGATAAAATATCAAGGACAGGAAGCACCATGGCCTAGGCCGTGTTGACGTACATTTGGACACAGCCAGGGCCATGTTGCACATTTTTAGGGTTTTTTTTTAGTTTTTCTTTCCTTGTTTGCTTAGGATTCTTTTGGATATTTAAGTCTGGTTGAGATTACTTGTTGGGGGGCTGAATTTTGCCTAATTTTAGAGAGAGATTATTTTGTAACAAAGAAAAATGGAGAATCAAGAACGAAATTCATCACAGAGTTTGTCTTTACTTTTTCAATATGATTTATTTCTTGAATTCTACTCTTATTTCTTTTATTATGAACTAATCGTCTTAGGCTAAAATTAGGGTTAGTCTATTTATGGATTCGTGATCAATCATTTGCTCTATGGTCATTGAATTATTTTTGTAATGATGAGCTTATATTATGTGCTTAATGGTATTAGGAACCTCATTAATTTCTGATAGAATTGTTTTGTATGATTGAGACCGAGTGGAGATATCACATTAGTGCTCTAGTAATATAGGTCATGGACTAATTGGATATAGAGATATATGAATTGATACATGCAATAGTCATAAGCAGGATTAACTTGTGCTGAAAGTTAGAGGATTTCATAAAGCTTGATGCTCGTCTATTTCATTAAATCTACATAGAGATATCTAGGTTGTGAGAAAGAATTAGAATTAATATTGCTTGAGAAAGCATATTGGTTAAGCTAGGAAATCTTGTTGTCACATTAATTAAATAAATTCATTGACCATAATAAATTGAGGGGTGTAGAGAAGTTACAGATGAGCCTGAAGTCTCAGCCGTTTTCTTTCATTGAATTTTTAAGTTTAGTTTTCTTGCAATTGTTCGTTTCTAATATTTTAGCTTTTAATACTTTTAGTTTTAAAGATCACCATTCTAAGTTTTGATTATTTAGATAAAGTTAAGACTAATTAACATTTCAGTACTTGTTTACGCAATCCCTTGGGTACGATAACCTGTGCTTTGTTACACTATATTACTTGAAACTAGTGCACTTGCTAGTAGTTGTCTCAAACGACACAAAAAGTTTTTGGAATGTTGACATGATTTTCCAAAATGGGAAGAGGCAATTCAAGCAGAATTAACCTCACTAGCAAAACGTAATGTATTTGGACCTGTAGTCCAAACACCTGAAAATGTGAAACCCGTAGGATACAATTGGGTATTCACAAGAAAACGAAATAAGAAAAATGAGATTGTTGGGTATAAGGCCAAACTAGTGGTTCAACGTTTCCTGTAGAGACCTGAAATTAATTTTGATGAGACATATTCACCAGTGATAGATGCTATCACATTTCGATACTTAATTAGTTTATCAGTCTCAGAAGGACTCGATATGCATCTCATGGACGTTGTCGCTGCGTATTTGTATGGTACACTGGATACTGATATCTATATGAAAATCCCTGAAGGATTCAAAGTGTCAGAAGTAAATAAAAGGAACATGTATTCAATAAAATTGCAAAGATCGTTATATGGGTTGAAACAATCAAGACGAATGTCGTATGATCGTCTTAGTGAATATCTGATGAAAGAAG